GGGGGGGGTTGGGCACTATGATGCAGTTTACTTGGCATCTGAAAATACATTTACTCAAAAGTGTTTTGAATCTGAAAAGAGCTTCACTGAGTGAGTAGTGGAGCTCAGCAGTTTCAGTTTCACTTTCAGTTTCACCCGTTGTTTGCTTTGTTGCTGCCGAGAGCTTGCAGGAGTCATGGGCCGGGGTGTGTGGGGAGTGGGGTGGGGAGGTGTGCTCCATGATGAAGTTCGGCTTAAAGACACGTCCCACGGGTGTTTCTGGTCCCAAAAGGTGTTTCTGTCCCCACCTGTTGTTTTGCTCCTCAGCATGGCTTCCTAAAAACGCTGCAGGATTTCTCAAACATGCATGAATGAGTCAAAGCAAGGCTTTGGGCATGTTTTTATGAGAGTATAACATTATAACATGATATAAAACTCAAAACAGTTGATTTTACATGATATTGCTCCTTTAAGCCTCTTGGGAAATTAGACAATTAGCATCTGAAAATTGTCAGAACTTGTCTCTGCTCTCCTCTTTAGCATCGGTTTCTAACTTTAATCCAACTCTGTGGCGTGTTAATGTCAGATTTACTTCACTCCCGCTTATCCTGCAAGACCCTTCGGCACGCCTCAGATCTGCTGTCATACAGCTAAGTGCATGGATGGCGTTTCTGGGACCTAAAAGACAGGAAGTGGTGGGCTGTTCTTCAGGTTTTTCAGTGACTGGGCTGTGAAGGAAGACGGGACTGCTGCCAAATAAGTAGCAGCATAATTAAAGTGTTAACAGTCTGCTGGCAAAAGAGTGGGAGGACTGCATGAGAACAGAATAAAGACGCATATGCTATAATCACGTCACATGGGAGGAACTGACAGGACGGCCCAACAGCAAAATGCACTTTTTATAAATGTTTATTTTTATTTTTTATTTAACAGACACACATACCTCTGGGATTTAGTGTTCTTGATTCAGTGAAAAGCATGAAGTCAGCTCGGCTTAACTTTAAACTGGAAACTATTTTGACTCGTTAATGCTGTCAAACTAAAGCCGTGAGAAAAACAGGAATAAACATCTAAAATATAGAGTAAAAAATCTAACAAAAACCCAAATTTCAGTGAACCTTAAATGATAATTGCGCACATAAAAAAGTGATGAGAATGAGGGGATTTGCCATAACAAATGTCACATTGAGCCCGAGGCTGGTGACAGTGTAAATGCCATGCTGAGGCTTGAAGGGGTTATTTTGTTTGGTGTCCTGCTTGTTTAATGGGCAAAACAAACAAATTGCTTTTTGCATTTATGGAAGGAACCTTTTTATTCTTATTTATTCCTATTCAAAATTAAATTCTACAAACAAACAAATAAAAGCATATTTAAAAATAAAATTTGCATCACATGCAGGACTTGTACCATTTGTTCACATTGCGTTGTGGCCACATCCTAAGTACCAGCCATGCACTGACACTGAGTTTGTGCATCAAAAATGCAGAGTGAATTAACTGTTGATGTCGTTGGTTACGCACAACTGAAGCCAAGATCAGCTTGTAATACTCTGACATTACTTATAGAGCTTAAGTTTGTTCTCTCAGTCGATGTGAAGCAAACGTTAGAACAACTATTTACATGATACACTTCATGATAAATTTAACTCAGAAGAATTTAGTAATCGCACCAAGACAGAAAAGTGAAACGATCAAGAAGAGAAAAATAGATCAGAGGCAGGATTGAGCCATGAGCTGATGCAGAATGTGAATAGAAACAAAACTTACAGTAACCTCTATTATGGCTCTGAGAAGAGTCATAATATTTAAGTTAGAATTAAAAAAATAAGTTTAAAGGGATATTTCATGTTATGAAGAATTAATATCTTTAAAACTTCGAATTAAAAAAAAGTTTTAATTCTGACCAGACTGACAAGTTAATGATTACTTTATAAGTTTTATATTGCTGTCAGTTCTGAATTATGCAGTTAATTTAGCTGAAATGTTTTAAATTTGATGCTGAAAGTTCTCCACCAGGAGTGCTATAGTTAGCCACTGCTAACGCTGATTGTGTTGCAAATAATCACAGAACCCCAAGTAAATATCATGATGTCAAACTGGCAGCAATGTAAAGACTAATAAAATACTATTCGTATGAAATCTTTTAGATCAGAGCTGTTTTAAAGGAGACATATCATGAAAAATCCAATTTTTTAGATGTTAAATGCATTTTGTACCTCGAGTCACTAGGAGTGCAGAAAATTTTAATTGTCTCTCCTGGTGCTCCGTAGACATCTTTATATTCTTTTTGAGTAACGTTTCAACAAGTTCAGTTTTCTCCATTTTCTATGACATTTTTGGAACCATTGCGTCAAATTATTTGAAATTATTTACGATGGAACTGCCAAAACCCCTTTATCAGGCTGAAACGAACCAATCTGAAAGCTGCAGGGCTCGAAGTGTGATCGCCTCGTTTGCTTTTACAGAGACAGCCTCAAAACGAGTTGATCTGAGACACGCCTCAGAAAAGGGGTTAAAGAGGGGCTTGTGGAGTTACAAAAAGGAGGAATTCAGACCAAAGCATTGAAGTTCTACTTTATATCGACCCCCAAGTGAATGATTCAAATGTGAAAAAGCATTTAAAAGCATTATATGTCTCCTTTAAGCTGACAGCAATCCATTTCAGTTTCGGCCCTGCTCAGATTATGTAAGCTCATTAAACCAGTAAGTTTTAAGCATTTTTTGTGAATGGGGTCATTCAAAAGGCTAAACAACAGGAAAGATATTAATTGTTCATTAAAAAAAAACACTTAGTATTTGAACAATATTTAGGTTTCTTGGTAAGGCCATCAGACAAGATGCAAAGTATTATAGATGCTTTCCCAAAGCAGGAAATTGACAAAAGATTAGTAGCATTAAAGAGAAGTTGCCTTTCTTTGTTTCAGCTCTGCAGCCACAGTGTTGGCATCAAGCTCTTCTTACTGTTTAATCTCCTTGACCTTTGCCCTGTCAGCCGCTGCTTGTGACTTGTCATAGGTCTTCCTGCGAGAGAGCGGAGAAGGCTCCGGAGCTTGCTTCTCCAAACCTGGCCTGGAGCCAGAACTGAGCGTTCGGTTTGACCAATTTATCCATGAACAACACAAAAGACAGTACACACAAAATTATAAAATAAAAAAAACAACACATAAATGCAACAATGAACACAAAATAATGGCAGGGATGAAGAGATGAGCATGCAGTAAGCAGCTTGGTTAGGAATTTGCTTTTAGAGTTTAAGTTGAAATAATTTAAAGAAGACCTTTTTGCAGGTGACAATAAAGAAGCTGTATGAAAATAGATATGTGCCCATCTCTTCATGCATTTACATCAAAGCACTCATTATTTGGAGGTGTGGCCCTTTATACAGATGTTTGTAAAGGATGCAAAGCAAATAACTAAGAGAGGACAGTGGAGCGTCATTTGTTAGTAAGAGTGCTGGGCGTGGACTTACATGCTGCCCATTTTAGAGGAAAAGCCAGGGGAGAGAGCTGTGTAGTCCCTGACTGATGAGAAGTCCATGTCTCCACTCCCATCAGGTGTTTCAGGGGGCTGCAGCATCGGACCAGCGAAGTCTGCAGCTGCGTCAGGAGCAGAGTCACTATTGGCGTACAGCAACTCCATCTGAGTGGTGGTCCTTCTACGAGCCTGTCCACCAAAATTACAAAATAAAATACTGGAAAAACAGTGGTGTTTTCTATAATATAGAGTGTAAACACAAAAAACCTCCTAAAATACCTTATTTTTTGTTTTGGTCTCGCCACAAAGTTTCATGAGGTCTGATGTCAAAGCGCTGTAAAAGGAACACAAGACTTTTAATGCATGAATCAAGAAATGCACTTAAAGACTTCACATATAATCAAACAACTCTCCATACATCACTAGCCATCAAGAAATCTACCCTGGACAGAGCCTACATGAAAAATCCATTACACAAAAAACAGACAATGGGATGTCATATCATATGAATATTAAGCTTTACTTTAGTTTATTTAACAAGGAGCAGGAACATCAATGAACATCAGTTAGCAAAAAGTTAGCAAAAAAGCTACTTTTTATTTATTGGTTTTGGACGAATGTTACAAAATCACAAAAAATGTATATAAAAAACATAAAAAAACAATATAAAAGAAAATATATAGTTTTAAAATCAAAAACAAAATTTAAACAATGACTAAACCCTCAATCTCAGTCAGTAAGTTGCCTTATATACTAAAAATTATTAGATATAAACGACTTTAGTAAATAAAAGTACAACATACAGTAAAAAATAATAAATGACCAAGAACTGCCCAGAAAAAGACCAACAAACATTAACAGATGGCCACAGACAGCAAAGCGACCTCAGTAACCTGAGCAGAAACCATTTGTGACACATCAGATCAAGGACTAAGTAGGGTTTGGTCATAATAAACAAAGCACATTTTCATAGGCCTGTTACAATAACAAATGTTGCAGGAAATTTATAAATTGTCTCAGAAATTATTGTGATAAATTATATTGTTTGGAGACTATTTTAAACTAAGAAAATTATCCTCATGAAAATATTTAGGTCCGCAACTTCAAAAGCGCTTGTGCAACAGAAATATTAGCAGAAGCTAATCTTAAAGCGCAGGTTCAATTTGACACTTACTAGCTGGCTACAATTGATGTGCAATATATGCACAATGCTGCCCGTTAGTGGTGTATGAACCCTTGTACAGCTTAATTTACAACTGCCGATTGCTGGGGATCTGATTTCCTTAAACAGACCTTTGGCTCCTGGTGTAAAAATTAAAAAGTTGTTGAGGATTGCCTGTTCAGCTGCTTCTTTGTCTTTGTCTTTTGTTTGTTGTAGATTTTTCATTAAAGAAGCATCAATAAAGTAATTTTAAAACACTGTTTATTGGAAAACTGAAGCGATGCATTCTGGGTACATTTGTGATGGGAAACGAAAGCATGGAGAACAGGAAACTAGTATCTTCCCTTCAAAATAAAAGCTTGGATTTTAGTTTTCCATTGGATTCCAGTTCACCTGAAACTCAGATTGAAGAAGTCTCTTGGAGGAGAAACGAAACGTTTCACTAAAGAAGAACCCATCCAAAAGACCTAATTATTTTTTTCTTTTTGATTTTTTTCTACCTGGATTACTGAGATGCTTCAGGACGTTTTCCCTGTTGCTCCAGTTAACCACTAGATGTCTGTCTTCGTCAGCATAAAGCTGAAAACATACTCCCTGCGAACTGCTGACGTCGGCACGGGTTGTCGCATTTAAATGACGAAAATTACGTCACCGGGCTTCGCAGCGTCGTGTCAACAGCCCCTTTTGGCACAACCCCCCGGCAGAACTTTTGACCCCCCTACCGTGTCGGCGGTAATGTGTGATTGGTCTGAAATTTGTGGGCGTCTTTGTTTGTGCTGCGCTTGGGGGAAAAAAGAAAAAAGGACGACTCTCTCCCAGACTAGAAAGCAGAGTTTTATAAGATGGTCAAACTGTGAAAAACATGGCTTGTTCGTTTGTTCTGAATGCGCTGCTGCAATCGGTAAAAAAAAAAGTGGGGGGGAAAGCCCCGACTCGCTCCCAGAGCCGACACCAGGAAGTAGAGTTTTATAAAGATAGTCAAACCGTGAAAAACTCATGAATGGAGATAAAACAGACGTTGTGCATGGAGAGCAATCTGACTGATAAAAACTGTGGAGCTTTAACCAGGACAGATGTGGATAAATACTTCGGGTGAGTGAAGAGTCTTTTTTTTCTGCAATGATCGTCGGCTGTTGCGGGGGGAAATTCCATGCAGTGATGCATGGTTCAGCGAGAGGGGGGTTTCCTGAGCTCGGCGTGGGGTGTCTCAGTGACTATGAAAAGTCTGTGCGAAAACGACTGCTGATCAACCACGTGACCGCGCGCCGACCCGTCGGCGTCGGAGCGAGTTCGACCAATTACGTAAAGTATTGAGCTCCAGCGTTTAAACTTTATTTTTAAAAAAAGGGAGCTCTGATTGTAAAGTAAAATAAATCAATACATACAAAATTTTAGTACGGATTACAAACATTTCCTGTTTTGCTACTGCTTTCTTGCTACGTAAGCAGACAAAAAGCATTGTGGGAAAAGAACCCCGACCGAAAGCAACAGTCTGCAAGAATGTATACCTGCTCAATAAGTGTGTTTACCTGGGCGGGGTGCTGTTGGACAGATCATGTGTGTTGTGATTCATTGACAGCCATACCTTCTGCTGTTCAAGATAATGATGACTGTTAATTAGTTATTAGCGGTACTGCATTTTAATTTTAGAAAGCACAAATCTGCTTATGAATTATAAAAATTAGTAAGACCCTAAAGCGCAAACAAAATATTTAGGTCTGCGATTAGCGGATTTGCGCTTTAGCGGGCTGGTGCCCACCACTGCCAAGCCGGCACAATTTATTCTCTGTGTCTTAATTTACAAAAGTTTATGAAATTTATTACAATGTGTTTTTAAAAAAAAAAGAAAACTCTTGGCGGACCCACAGTTCAGCATGGTGCCTTCAGTGCATCCTGAGGTGTTGCCAGCTGAAAGAAGCTGTCCGAAAACCAAAGGCTCTGCGACTCTATAACATTTTAAACAACTTATGACACTTTTGGAAACCTCCATGCTGAAAAGAGGGGGAAACAAAGATAAACAATAATGACAATGAAAATAAAAATAATCAACCTAATTTTTTAAAATCAATCTCATTTAAATTTATCATATGAATAATTATCGTGACATGCCTCCATTTTCAAGTTCTTGGCATTTTAAGATACATTTGATACCTAGATCATCCTGATATGAGTGGTTCCAGAGATATATGATTTGTTGTACTAATCAGGAAGATCCCTGAAAAAAATGGTTTGAATCCTATTTTGTGTGCATTCGAATGAGAATTTCTTGAATTCATTTCAAAATTGGAAACCTCTGATTTATGTGGATATTGAGACGTCCCAGCTGGTAGTGAAATAATAGAATAAACCAGCATAACACAACAAAGAAAATAAGCAGAAACTTACGCTCCCTCTGCCAAGGGACTTTGAGACGACTCATCACTGCTGCTGTCGTCCCCATTTTCTGTCAAATGAGGTCAGTGAAAAACATTAAAACAGAATTATAACCACAATGAATGTTGAGAACTTTCTTGAGAAGAATGAGACGCCATCTTAACTCATTTAAGATTAAACTACTCATCGCTCTCTCCATTTAGCTTTTTTTTTCTGCAGCTGCTCAAAAATGGATGTAAAACATGAACAAGAGAAGCAGATGAGCTCAATGTCAGAGCAGCACCATGCTGTTTTTTTTTTGTTTGTTTTTTTGCCAAACTTGGTCCTTGCTGGGCTACACAGGTTCAAATGAATGAGAAAAACAAAGGGGTTATTCAGAGAGATGGTGGTAAGGGACCTAGTGTGTGAAGGAGAGTTTTATGGGTGTGAGGAATCATTAATTTGATGCTCCTGATGGGGTCAGCCCACCTAAAGGGTCCGACAGAGCTAAAACATCCAGGTTGTGAGGGTCCTGTGGAGGGTTAGAAGGTGCTAAAGCATGGAGGCTGTAGCACACATGAGCAAAGCCGAGGATTGTGTCCAAGTAGAGAGAGAAGAAGAGGTCAGCTGACAGATGGAGAGAAGCCTGATTGCACTGCACCTCATGCACCTGCTTCAGTTATGTTGAGTTAGTTCTTGGAGTGCAAAGAAAAGAAACCATGCATTCATATTTCTAATGAGGTTTCACTTACCAGTCGGGAGGTTACCTAGCTCTGTAAAAAAAATACGAGAAAAGAAAACATGGGGGAACCAAAAGAGGCAATGCACAAAACAAAAACACAGTCCCCCAAAACTGGAAAAATAAAACCACTAAAAATAAATCCATAAGTACAGTGAGCCTACTGGTACATTAAACACAGCGTACTGCTGAACAGAGGCTGGCAAAAACAGGAGGAATCAATTAGCTTGTAATAATTCACTGGCTTAATGCAGCAGAACAGTTCTGATGGTCAATCAAGAGTGCATGTACAGCTTACATTTCATTTCATTTTAGTCTAAAATTTGAGCTGTTAAAACATTGTTCAACTGAACCTCAGTTAAGGTTTAGCACAAACTACAACTCCAAGATACATGTATTCACACATAACAGTAAGCCTCTCCCAAAACCTAAAAAAAAACTGCCACTCTACACTAGTGCTGGGCGGTATACCAGTTCGTACTAAAAAACATTTTTTATTTTTGTTATGAATTTTCTGAATTCCAAACATACCGGTTTAAATAGACTGAACACGCTCTGAACTGTTTGTGAACCGTTTCACGGGGGACACTTTTCCTTGCAACACCGCTATGTGCATTATCATAAGCTGTATCCAAAACGAGAGGCTGGGTCCTCCGAAGGCCGAATTCGTCGGCCGCATACGTAACAGCGCCGCGACGAAGGACGTCCCAAACCGAAGACTCCTCCGATGCGGCCGACAAATACGTCCCTCCTTTGGCCTGAATTAAAGGACTGGTCCGATGGGTCCTTCCCGGCCCAGCATATCCCATAATGCATTGCAGCCAACCGGAGATTTTTTTTGCTAGTAATGGTGGACAAAGCGAGAGAAAAGAATATGTTTTAAATAAAAATATGGTGATATAAAAATAAAAAATTTCAAGCAGTTGTGTTTTTAATACTTTTATCGTTTGTACAGACATATTTTTAAATATTATTTTTTGTCGGAAAAAAACAAGGTTATATAGCGAAATAAACATGCACGACGGCAGGTCCATTAGTTCTTAAAATATTACGTTTAAGTTAATTTTATTGTTTTATGATATTAATAACACTGATATATTGATATTTTTCTAATAATTTTGCTTTTGTTTAGCGTCACTAGGCGTCATGACGTACGCCGGGGTAAGGATGGGAGGCGAGACCGTCCAAATTCACAGCCTCATTTTTCCAGTCTTCATGGTCTACCAAGTACCCGGCCCACCCAGGGGAGGCTGGGTCCTCTGAAGGACCCAGCCAAGCTAATGTTATTGTTGGAGCAGCTTCTCAACAACTGGTCACGGGTGGCAATTTCACTGCTTATATTGACTGCCGTTAAGAAAAAAAAACTTTACTGCTTTTGCCATCACTGAATGTAGAATACACCTCTTTAGTGACGTGAATGGATAGATTTCATGCGCAATGTAAATGTTTGGAGACGTTATTGTGCTTTATTGTGAAAAATCTGGAAGCAGTTTGTACTGGGTTGAGTTGACCTGTTAATTTTCCTTAAATAACACAAAACAATAGACCCGATAATGATCTATGCTCAACCCTGCTCCTTCACGACCGTACCAAACTACTGTCTACAACCAGGCAAAGAGGAGGGAAATGGTGACACAGACAGAGGTACAATAAAAGAATAAAGTCAAGAAATAGTTCCTGTGTTGCAGAAAGAGAATAACTTCACCTGACTGTGGTTTGTTGATCAATAAGCAGAGTTTGTAAATTTTATTATCAGCTGAGCTGTGATGAAAAGAAAAACACAGTGAAATACTCTGATACCGGTATAATTGTTGAAAATACTGTGATATAAAATTTGGGTTATACCGCCCAGCACTAGTTTACACTAAAATTGTATGACTAAGAAAAACACTTTTAAATTCAGTAAGTTGTATACAGAACTATGGAGATTTTAGGTTGGTATGCTTTTGGGCAACCTGATTTATGTATATAAAATACAGAATCATCTGCATACATAGCAATTTTACAATGGCTTCTCTGTGAATGGTGAATTTGATTAGAGTTTATTAGAACTTATGAATCAGTTGCGTAACGAGTCCAGCTTCTATTAAGCAGAAGGCAACAGGCAAGAGCATTTGAAAAGACCCAATCATGCAACTAACCAGTAATCCAGTCCATTTCCTGAAAAATACATACTGTGTGATTGTGAAGGTAACATACTTACAAATATATCGAAACTATCCTGTAAAAGAAAGCTTACACCACCATCCCACCATTACAGAGACTTTCACCTCTACTCTCCAACATACAGCAGTTTTTACCTTGTAGAGCATTTCCTAACAGTGCATCCAGCTCTGGGTTGAACTCAGCTTTTTCCTTCAGCATGTGGAACAGCAGCTGGTTCTGAGTAGCACTGGTGATCTCAGTCTGCTTCAGCCGGCCCTCCATGACCTTCACCTGGGACTCCCGCTGAGCTGCCTGCAGACCCTGAGGAGGTCAAACAAAAACAGCAGTTATGATAAAATGAAGTCACGAGGTATTTCATTATTTTAATTTGAGGGTTGATACCTTGTTAATTGCCATCGACATGAAATGATCCAGCAGGAAACGAGCTTCAGCCAGACTACAAGAGCCGATCACAGCAGAGACATCCACCGTGTCGCCCTCCTCCTGAAACACAAAAAAATATATTAACGTTCAAATGAAATTCTGTTTTTTTGAAGAAGAATCACCCAAAACAACTCAAAAAAACCTTGGGTTTAGGAGCAAACTTTACAACAATAAAATGAATCCGTGCATTACATCAGAGCTTTCTAATCAAACACTTGCATACCTTAGTTTCCTCCATCTGCATGATGTTGGCCTGACAGTCTGCAATGCTGTCGTTAATGTAGTCGATGTTGGCAGCCAACGCATCCACTTCCTCACTGAGAGGAAGCACCGCCTTCTCTGACTCCGCCCCCTCTCGCAGGAGACGATCCCTCTTCCGGATCACCTTCTCTTTATGCTTCGTCAGCTCCTCTCGTTGCTGTATGTTAAAAACACCGATCAGAAGAGCTCTCCGCATGAAGTGATTTCTAAATTTGATCAATTTTAGAGCTGATTGGGAAAAGAGGACAAAAAATCTATTTTACTTTGTTCATAAAAGTTATGAAATTACCTTCAATATTTACAATTATATAAAATCAACCACTGGAATAACAACTCTGATCATTTCCTTACCCCAGTTTAACTCAGTTTGTAAAAAAAAAATCTTAATGTGAGATTCTATGATTTACACAATTTTTTTTGGTAAATACCTCTAAAAATACCTTGCAAAAGGAATTTAATGTTCTACTGAATCACAGCTACCGGTATTTGTTATATTAGTGAAAGAGAAATAACAGACATTGTTTTGTTTCTGTAGCTATTTATTTGTCTTAAAGTATCTGATATTTGTTGTACTTCAGTATTAAAAGTAAAAGTATTGAGTAAAAGTGAGCAGTTGGAATGTCCAAAATGATATCTATTGGGAGGTAACCTCTCAAAAAAATAAATAAATAAAAAAATCCTTTTGTCTTGCTGGAGTGTGACGAGATTTGTGTCATTTGCTGGTGTGATGGATTGTACAAACCAATGGGGGTCAGAGTGTATATAATTATACTTTTCATTCAACCACAGTTACATTCACTATATCTAGGAGGTATGATTTATCTGGATAGTTTTTAAATTTACATTCTGGGGTCATTTTGGGGTCAAAGGTGAAGCTCAAGTAAAGTGATCTTTGTGGCTTGAATCCCTTTCTTTGGATTGTACACATAAGTGGCCGATCACTGAAATTAATGATATGGTAAATGTCAAAGAGGAAGTCATGTTTAGACGTTGATGTTTTACATAATTCTCAGAATATTTAAGTACAAAACTAGAGGTAAACAGGTTACTACACCAGCTGAACTCTCTCAGTAATTAGAAAGCAAGCCTGCCCCTTGTCAGTGCAAGTTAATATCAGCTGGTTCAGTCCCAAATGATGGCCAGGTATCACACAAGAACCATCTGATGATGGGTAAAAGTAAAGAGCTCTCTCAAGACCTTCACAACCTTATTGTTGCAAAGCATAATGATGGCATCGGTTACAGAAGAATGTCTAAACTTCTGAAGGTTCCAGTGAGCACTGTTGGGGCCATAATTCAGAAGTGGAAAGAACATCATTTCACCATAAACCGACCACAACCAGGTGCTCCTCACAAGATTTCTGACAGAGGAGTGAAAAGAATTATCAGAAGAGTTGTCCAAGAGCCAAGGACCACTTGTGGAGAGCTTCAGAAAGACCTGGAATTAGCAGGTACGATTGTTTCAAAGAAAACAATAAGTAATGCACTGAACCACCATGGCCTGTATGCACGCTCACCATGCAAGACTCCACTGCTGAAGAAACAGCTTGTTGAAGCTCCTTTAAAGTTTGCTGCACAACATTTAGACAAGCCTGTGTAATACTGGGAGAATATAGTCTGGTCAGATGAGACCAACATTGAACTGTTTGGATGCCAGAATACACATCATGTTTGGAGGTCAAATGGCACTGCACATCAGCCCAAAAACACCATACCAACAGTGAAGTTTGGAGGTGGGAACATCATGGTGTGGGGCTGTTTTTCAGCATATGGTACTGGCAAACTTCAAATAATTGAAGGAAGGATGAGTGGAAAAATGTACAGAGACATTCTTGATAAAAATCTGCTTCCATCTACCAGGATGATGAAGATGAAACGTGGCTGGACATTTCAGCAAGACAATGAGCCCAAACACAAAGCCAAGGAAACTCTCAGTTGGTTTCAGATAAAGAAACTAAAGCTGCTGGAATGGCCCAGCCAATCACCTGACCTGAATCCAACAGAAAATCTATGGAAAGAACTAAAGATCAGAGTTCATAGAAGAGGTCCACGAAACCTTCAAGATTTGAAGACTGTTTGTGTGGAAGAATGGGCCAAAATCACACCTGAGCAATGCATGCCACTAGTTTCTCCATACAGGAGGCATCTTGAAGCTGTCATTGACAACAAAGGCTTTTGTACAAAGTATTTGATAAATTTCAGTAAGTGTGTTCAATACTTTTTCCCTGTGCCATTCCACATTATTACAAATAACTTCATTTCTGGACATTTATGGTTTGATTTCTTTGTATGTATGGATCACTTGGGTTGTTACCGACAACTGGTGAAAATTTCATGTCATTAGCACCTCTAGTAATATATTTACTGAGAAAAATGGTGATGTGTTCAATACTTATTTTACCCGCTGTATTTGTATTTTGTTATTTTACAACACTGCTGTCTGGTATTCCACTACTAGCATCTACGGCTTTCTTTTCTTTATTTTCAAAGATTAAAAAAAAATAAATAAAGCAAAGCAAACAAACACATTACTTCCTAACTTCACCTTAAGGAGGCGGTTCATGTCGGCCTCCATGTTTGAAATAGTCATTCTCTGCATGATGACGTCTGTGATGCGCCGCTCCAAAGTCTGCCACTTGTTGCGAGCAATTCTTGTAGAATAAACTCCTCCTGAGCGCCTGTAAGAAGACCTGGCCACATACAGGTGGATACACAGGAAGAAGTTCAGACGTCCGCCTGCTTCAGTTAGAAACTTAAATAATCACTTTAACACGTGGCTGTGCCGGGCTCACCATGTGCCGTTTGGAGCAGTGCTGCTGGAGGAGTACATACGTCCAGAGGGGGGGCGGTGGACAGAGTCCTGAACTGGTTCTGGAAGGTTGACTTTCCTGACCACTTTACCTGAGGTGGGCCTGACCTGCCTCCTGAGAGCAGTCACCTGACACAGAGCAGAAACAGAAGACAAGTGGGTGAAATTTAAAACTCATAGAAGGGATGGGGGGTCACATTATTACAGATCTGTTCATTTCTTTTAGATCAAAGTAAAGCCATTCTCCCAGCTGCTCACCTCCTCAGTCTTTCTCCTCAGGATCAGTTCCTGCTGTCTTTTCTGAGCTTCAAGCAGCTTCAGCTGATGCTGAGGAAGAAACATTAAACTAAACTGTAACTTAACAACCAGAGCAAGTTACCATTAAACGACTGGTGGAGAACGTCCTCGCCACTGACCTCTTGCCGTCGCTGATCTTTCTTCAAAGAGGCAATTTCTCGATTCCTGCGAGACTCGTTCATTCGATTTTTCTCCTGCTGCTCCTTCATTTGTTTCATGAGACGAACCTGAACCAAAAAGAAAAAGGATTAAACATACCCCATCATTAAGATCTACATGTGAAGTAAAAAAATAAAAATAAAAACACCATACCTTGGTCTTCTTCATCTCCGACACGTCCATCTGAAGCTTCTTGAGCTGCTTCTCATACTGTGATTGGTTCTTCAGCAGGCGAGCGTGCTCCTTCTGAGCAGACTGGAGCTTCTGAAGCTCCTTGTTCATGACGCTCAGCTTCTTTTCATACTCCGCTTTGATTTTACGAGCCTTGTCGTCTGAGCCAGTTTCCATCGAATCTTTAAATATCCAGCACATAAAAGTGATTTATTAAAGAAAAAAGAGATGCAATAAAGCCAAAAAGTATTTTTAATACGTTCTCACCACAACCGTGTTTGATCTATTACTCCTTTGTGAATCTAAATATAAACAGTTCGTGGATCTTGGCAGATATTTATATTTTAAAGTTATTCATTTCAAGCACAAAACTTCAAAGGAGTCATGATTTGTTAGTTTGTTCTGAAATCATTCTTCCAAATACAGTTAAGACACATTTGCAAATGTTCTTCTGAGACGAGGCCAAAATATTCAGAGCAAAGGCTAAGATAAAAAGTGCACGTGTGCCATCTGCTGGATGCTTTTATTCAGCTGTCAGAGCAGAGCAGAGCAGAGCAGAACAGAGCAGACACAGAACCTCAGACCTATCTTACTCATGTTTTGGAGGACCCGGTCCCGCTCCAGCTGGGTGTCTCTGATCTTGCACTGCAGCATCATCAGCTTCTGTTCGTACTGCTGTTTGAGCGTGTGCAAACGGCGCTGGCTGTTCTCCAGCTCATCGATGAGTTTCTGCTTGATGGCAATCTCACAGGTGATGTTGGCCAGATCTGCCTGGTAGTTCTCTGTCAGACAGGTCAACCACATTATAATACATTCACACAGAACAGGCACTTCTCTTAGTCTGGCTTATTTTAGCCCTGGGTACAAATCTAAATAACATGCTTTAGCAGTCAACATGAGTCAACGGTTGTTTTCCTTAAATTAGACAAAAACATAATGAAGTTTTTCTAATGCTTATACATTTTAAAGTAGTACTGTATTTTATGCTGCTTTGGTCCAATGAATGACCCAACTTTTGTCAAAAACAGCCCTCCTTAATTTTTATCGAGAGATTATTAAACAGCTTCATCAATGCGGTCTCAGATTATCAAATCAGAATATGTCATAAGATGAGGAATATAGCATGTGTTTAAAGCAGTTTACATTTGTAAAATGTCTTTGACATGTCTGTCATTCAAATATAAAAAGTCAAAGAAAACTTCTTTGCATTTAAGAAACTTGGTTTAATACATGACTTTACTCCATATTTTCTTTTGAATTTGGTTCAGCGAATGTAAAACAGGAAGTGACATAAAAGGGGAAGTCTTCAAGAAATAAAACTCTCTGGTCTTTGTTTATTGAAACATTATTTGAACTCTGACTCTTCTTCATCTCTCTGATAGAGACTCAAAATAATCTTAAGAATCATCAGATTTTTCTCTACAGTCGGTGTTGTTGGCTGCTGTAGCCACACTGTTCACATCCAGACATTCCCCTGTGACATCACTTCCTGCTACTTCACATATAAACATCTCAACAACTGTTCATCTCAGCAGTGTGAAAATTGTTTTGCAATTTGTTATTAATGTTTTTTTAATACATTTATATTTATTGCAAAAAGTTGATGTCTCATGCACTTTAAAGAACCTTTAAAGGTGCACAGTTTTCGACACAAGCAGCAGGCCGATGTGTGCGAACAAGACTGAGCAGCCCCACCTGGTGGAGACAATGAAGACTGCAAGGTTCATATATACTTTAATTCAGTGTTTCCCAAAGTTGGGGTCGGGACCCAAAGCGGGGTCACGAAACATCAAGGTGGGGTCCTGAAAAGATTTTCTGAACTAATTACATTTTTGC